TCTTTCTTCTGTACGTATTTCAGATTGATGAGTGACTAATCAGTTTAAATGACGTATATCAAGGAAGGATTTACAAATAGATATTTTAATCAAATTTTATTATTTCTTTAGGAGAAAGCTACAAATTGTATAAACCTTCCCATTTGCTGTCAAAGCAGCCTAATGCTACCTATTGCCCTAATGATTACACTACAAGCCAACCCTTTTGCTGATTGCAACCATTCAGTTATCATCCAGTGTAGGATATACAGGGGAATGGTAAGCCGCTGAGCCCCACTTGATTCTAAATAATATATTATATCCCATTACTGAAACCGTTTAATTCCTTAAAAAAAAAATCCTCTTCACATCCTGCTGATTTTAATATATCTTAGCTAGTGTCCCCCACACGTTTTTCAGCATGTTTCAGCAATGCTATTTCTGTACCTTTCTTTCTTTCCTTTGCTCTATAAGTGAACCAGATTTATTCCTGGAGTTACCTATGAATTACCCAGTTCATACTGTGTAATTGTGTGTGGGAATGACCTTGGAATACTGGCCCAAAAGACACGCCTAGGCAATGGTCAGATAAGAGACAGCATAGCCCACAGCTGGACAGTGGCAGGAGAAGAGGTTCAAAAGGGACCCTCCCTGGTTTCTTGGGCTGGATGGGAGAATTGTACTTTCAGGGTTGCAAGAATCTGTTAATGTGGCTTTACAATAAAGTAATATTAGCTTGTCTGGTTGTGTTTCCTCTCTGCTCTACTTAGTAAGGCTGACATACTGTAAGTGCGATTTAACCTTCATTTTCACTGGCAAAACAATGTGCCTGACAGCTTTGCCACTGACTGTTATGGAAGTTTCCAGTACTCATTGCAGGTCTATTAAGCCTCAGCTGCCCATTCACCCCATTTCACTACGTGTCCTTCACTGAATCTAGAGCAGCACTTAGCAAAGGATGTTGTGCTCGAGAAAAAGGATGTAAAAGGTACACACTTTGTAATTCCTCGTCCTTTTTGCAGCCTTCCCAGAAGCTGTTCTATGTGGCTGACAAGGCAGGACAAAAGAATTGGAGGGGAAGGGGGAACCACCAAAGATTGCCTCCCAGCCTCCTTTACCCTGTACTACTCCAAATCCTGGGGATTTTGGTGACTAGAAGGAGCTCTTCCATTCATGGAGTGGCCATCCTGGGTCCAACTCCGTGTGCTTTATGTGTTTCCCTCCTCTCAGGATTACTAGTTTGCTGGTTGATTTCTTTGCTCACTTACTTTTTTGTGTCTTAGGGAAACCGATGTGGTCTTGAAATATTTGAGGGAAGAATGTAATGTGAAGAAGATAGGTGTCATTGGATTTTGTTGGGGCGGAGCCGCTGTACATCATCTGATGTTGAAATATTGCATATTTAGCGCAGGCGTATCCATCTACGGTATGTGTTTAATGCAATGGAGTCTGTGCAGATTATAATTTTCAAGGGAATTATAGATAATAGAAAAAAGGTGATGCAAGTAGGTCGGGATATGTTTGGCTGAAAAAGAATCTCATCCTTTAGGGAATATAGCCATTCCCACTCTAGGATTTTTGGGACTTATAGGATGATTCAGCCATCACTTTAGTAATAAATCATTAAAGAAAGAGGTGTTGTACTACCATAGGAATGGCTATCTGGTGCACCAAGCCACTGTAAATAATTAGCATGGAAATGTGCCATATCCTGTTAATTTAAAATGCAGAAATTAGGGGCAGAGTGAAGGTCTTTGTTCACAGGGGGCACATTTCACATTGTAAGGCAGGCGGCAATTGAATATCAGTGACTAGACTCTTCCTGTCCTGCTTCTTACTCTGACAGAGACATTTCTCTCACCTGGACTAATGGACCATTCTTGGTATGATCTTTCAAGGCTCTTCTTATATTCATATAGATAATTTACTTTTCAAGTCCATTTGTCTATAAAAGATTTAGTTGAAACAAATACTGTAAATGGGTAATTTGGAGGTAATATCTCTGAATTTGAACTGTTTGCATAAGAGAAAAGGGGGTTTTATGCTGCACTCAGTACTAACATCTTTGGTTTTAATATAGCTTTTTGTCAAATATATTTTAGGAGTTATCACATTAATGGAGAACAATTTCAACCTGAATAATCCCACATTTTTCATTGTTGCAGAGAAGGATGAGTTCATTCCTCTTGACCAAGTAAGATATTGTTTCTGGATGCTGAGTTTTAGAACCACATCCACATAATGTAAAAGTAGTATGACAATGGATTGGATTGTATCAGTGGGAATTGGTTTACAATTCTTCCTTTTATGGATTCCTGGCTATTCTGGGTGGGTAGAGTTGAGGATTCTTTCAGATACATGAAGGATACAAAACATGCCTAAACATAACATAATTGTCTATGTTCAAGCAATTTTGTCTTTTTAAAAAGGGACTGGAATTAGACATTGTTCTGTAGAAGACTGTCTTGGAACTCAGAGACTAACCCTGTGAGAATCTGCTTCACGAGAGGGAAATGTTGCTTTGTGAATTCAGAAACAATAATCGTGGGTTTAATGTGAGAAGGCCAAGTAAGCCATTCTGGCAATCCTACTGCAAGTCTTAAAATGGCATTGTGAATCATAACAGGAGTTTTCATATTATTAAACTAGAGAACACTAAAAATTAGTATAGGACCAAACTGAGTTGGTTGAGCTTAGCTGGGCATATCAGAAAGTGATTGTGCAACTGCACTGGCATATTTGACCAGGATACCTGGTCAGGTTCCTGGGACTCTGGCTACAGTCTCAGCTCTTTAGCTACAGCCTCTTTGTGTGGTCATGTAAACCCATGGTAATTATCAA